GAAGGAACATATCACAGCTGTAAGATCTTTGTATACTCAGTTTATATATTCTGAGTGGCTGTTTTCATTATGATACATCAAGTATTTGATGCAGTTGATATTGTGCACCGATGTATCGAGTGAAACATGGTTTCAGCGTGTTCAGCAGAGACGGTTCAAACAAGGCTGAAGAATCTCAGAAGATGTTACATATGGCCTTTGCAACGACACAATAATAACTGGAGGTAGGTAAACCATCCACATTCATTTCACAAGGATATTGTTTTTCAGTTTAGTTTGCAGCTTCCTCACCTTCTTTGGCACAGAGTCCATGACCAGCTCACCGTACATGTTCATCACCTGAATAACACAAAAACAATGTAAGAATTAAAGTGCAAAGAGAAATGTTCTCAGGCAGCAACACTTTTGATACAATTCTCTTTACTTTTAAGGCCCGAGTGTGAAACCAAGCAGCTGTTTTCATAAATACAGTCTGATTTTAAAGCCTCGCTAAGGGCCTAAACTTTGCACACGCATCTGCTCTGGTGAAAACGTACATATTTTATGGGTCTGGCATGTGGACAGTACAAAATGGTTCTACATACATGGCAAGCATGAAACACATGACACATTTTTGTTTGTTTGTGTGTGTGAGTGAATTTTAGTTTTGTACACAAACATACCAAAGGAAACAATCAGAATCATTTTTGAAATTTCACCCACATAGGTGAAACTATGTGGGTGAAATTTGGTACACGTGTGCAATATTCCAAGATGAATCAGTTCAGAGAACCCAACAGGAAGTCTGCCGTTTGTTATTTCCAGATATTACACTTTGTGGTTGACAAGGAATGTCGAAAATTTGGTTTGGAAAGTCTTCAGTAGTTTGTTTTACAGTGTGCCTCAAAGTTACGACAGGAAGCACAAACCTGCATATTTGACGTGATCGTTGAGGAGTTTGATTTAAATATGATTACAGGAAATGGCTCAACTGCACCACTCCCACCTCCGGCAAACTGAAATTTTCAATTCAGTTCAGTTTAACTTCTATAGCCCCAAATCACAACAGCAGTCGCTTCGTGGCACTTTATTCTGGAAGGTAAAGACTCTACAATAAACCAAAGAGTGAGTGTCCCGTCGTCACTGCTCGCAGCTTTAATTTGTTTTGCTTTTCTTGATGATGAAACATTGGATGTTGTAACATCTGGACTTTGGAGAACGAGAACATATACTGACGTACCTAACACAGCCGATGCCATGCACCTGCATCATTTACAGCACGTACAAGTTACAAAGTATCAACAGCAGTATCTCTAAAATGTGCCGCAGCAGGAACAACACAGGTGTACTGAATCACATTTAAATGACTCCCTTTGGACTTAGGTGCACTAATGCCTAAGGTTAAGTCAAAATTCCCCCCCAAAAGCCTAAAGTGTACAGTTAGAGTGTACTAGCATACCTGGTCATTGAGCCAGTTCTGTCCATACAGAGTGCCCAGGTCGTCCATGGTCAGAACATGCCGTTTGTAGTTGACTCTGAAGGTTTTAGCTACAACAGATCCTGATGAGCGCTGGAAGGACTGTATTAGATGTTGGACCACTGCTTTTCTAAGGAAGAACGAATCAAAACCAGATGTACAGTTAGCTCCATGTATTCAGACATCGCTAATGAAAGCTTTCCATTACACAGCCCAAATCAAAGGATCGCTACGGCAAGTGAAAGAGGACACCTTTGCTGCAAAAACAAAACAACTGCAGTTACATAGTGATTCTATGAACATTAAGAGTCACCA